GAATTTTGTTTGTAGCATAAAAAACTCATATATTATATAATGCTGCCTAAATATTTCATCTTTGAAATAATAACCATCAGTAATAATGTATTAATCAATATGATTATATGCAATTAATCATGTTATTTACAGCATTCAATACACAGTTCTTACTACATTTCTTTCATTGAATTGGTAGATGAAGTTTACAATATTCCCCACAAGAGGGCAGGCTTGGCATGTTTAGCTTTTCAGCTAGATCATCGAACACTAGCTTTACACTCTCCACCCCCTGGCTCAGTGATTCTTCCTCCCATATTTTCTCTTACACAAAGAGCTGCTGCGCTGAGATGAAAATCCTGTGGATATGTTTACCTATGGGTGGATTCTTTTTTAGGGTTAGAAACAGCAATTTATAAACAAAACACAACTTGGATTACATAGCATTTATGTTTCATCAAATATCAAGGACCTGTTTTAAGATATGGACATCAGAGGCTGCTGTCTGTGTTGGAAATGGCAAGTAGCTTTCTCCCTTCTCCTTTGTAGCTGGGGCTGGGTCTCTGGGCAGCTTCGTTATTCTATTGTGGAAGAGTCTGATCCAGGGACATGGGTAGGAAATGTAGCTCAGGATCTGGGCATGAAACATGTAGAGCTTTTTCAGCGCAAATTACATGTATCATCTGAGAAATACCAAAAATATTTGACTGTAAATAAGGAAAATGGAGGTTTGCTTATCAATGGCAGGATTGATAGGGAGATCCTGTGTGGATACATTGTGAAATGTGTGCTGCGTCTAGAGATTGTTGCTGAGAATCCTTTAGAGCTTTTTAATATAGAAATTGAGATTCTGGATATTAATGATAATTATCCTACATTTTCAATTGATGATTATTTCATTGAGATCACAGAATTGGTAACAAGCCCTGGGGCTCAGTTTGCTTTAGAGATTGCAGAAGATTTGGATGTTGGTGTTAACAGTGTTAGTCAGTACACATTAAAGACACATCCTTATTTCTCTTTGTCTGTAAAGAATCGTAAGGATGGAACTCTTGTCCCTCAGCTGATATTAGAGAAGGTGTTAGATAGGGAGGAGAAACAAGAACACAATCTTATTCTCACTGCTATTGATGGAGGAGAACCGGCTAGATCAGGATCCTGTCACATCACAATAAAAGTGTTAGATATCAATGATAATCCTCCAGAATTTAATCAATCGGTTTATAAAATCAGTCTAAAAGAAAATCTCTCTTTAAATTCTCTTATATTAATTTTGAATGCAACAGACCCAGATGAGGCCATGAATGGAGAAATTCAATATTATTTTGATGGTCACACTTCTGCATCTGCCAAAAAATTATTTGATTTAAAGCAGCAAAGTGGAGAGATATTTATAACTGGAAATCTGGATTTTGAAGAGCTGAATTTTTATGAGTTGTCTGTCAAGGCTGTAGATAAAGGATCACCAAAGCTAACAGGAAACTGTCTTATTCAGGTTGAAATAGAAGATGTAAATGATAATTCCCCAGAAATATATTTTTCTTCATTTACCAATGAGATATCAGAGAATGCAGCAGTAGGTACGGTTGTGGGATTAATAAATGTGGTAGATAAGGACTCTGGGAAAAATGGAGAAATACATTTAGATATATCTAATAACATACCATTTAAAATCAGGGTTAATAAAAATCAATATTCACTCATCATTGATGGACATCTGGATAGAGAAAAAATCTCCCACTACACTATTGAACTGACAGCCACTGATTTAGGTTCTCCGTCTCTGTCTAGTAAGACAGCTGTCATTCTCAGGGTTTCTGATGTTAATGATAATGCACCAACTTTTACAGAATCTAACTATAATGCCTTCATTAAGGAGAACAGTGACCCAGGTACATTTCTATGTACAGTGTCTGCTAATGATCCAGATGAGGTGGTTAACACTGATCTGGTTTACTCTATTGTGGAGATGCAGATAGGTGGATCTTCTGTATCCTCATTTGTTTATATTAACTCTAATAATGGTGATATATATGCTCAGCGTTCTTTTGACTATGAGCACATTCAGACTCTACAAATCACCATAAAAGTAGAGGATTCTGGATCTCCAAAGTTATTTTCTACAGTCCCTGTCTTTATATTCATATTGGATACAAATGACAACTCCCCCACCCTGCTGTATCCAGAACACTCTGAGGATCTCATTGTCCAAGAGAAGATCCCAAAATCTACAAGTGCTGGATATCTGGTGACAAAACTGACTGCAGTGGATCTGGATTCTGGTCACAATGCCTGGTTGGCCTTTCACTTTATTGACCCCAGTAGGTCTTCACTATTTCAAGTGTCTAAACATACAGGAGAAGTAAGGACTGTACAAGGATTTCAGGAAATAGAACATTTGGAGCATCAACTTGTCATCTCTATCAGTGATCATGGGGATCCTCCATTTTCTACCACTGTCACTATATTTGTCAGCTTAGCTGATGATGTTGTAGTAGAAAGACCCAAATCTGGAGATTTCATGAGAAATTCCAAACCATCATCAGATATGACTTTATACTTAATTGTTTCTCTTGTGGCTATCAGTTTAGTTTCCCTTGTGACATTCATTATATTATTAGTGAAATGTCTGAGAAAGGAAAGTTCTAGTGATAGTTGCTGTTATCTTAGTGGGTCTGGGTCCAAATCATACATGGATCAGTACCAGCCAGCTCTTTTCATGAACACAGACGGAACCCTAAAATACATGGAAGTCCGGATGGTTCCTCCAGGAGGACAAGGACAATGTTACCAAACAAATGTGCCCCCAGCCCCACATCAGCGGGATTCAACTTTTCTGCAGTTTCTGGATTTTCCTCAGTTACGGGAATTAGTTAAAGACAGTGATAGTACATCAAATACAAGCTGTTTGAATGATCCAAACAAGGTGAGCCAGACCTACTCTTTCTATCTCACTGCTTACATTATTTCTGCTTAATTAGTTAAAGCCTCCATCATTAGCTATTACCATTTTCATGCACTTATTACTGTTTATTGATTAAAAAGGTTGAATGATAATTGGCAATAATAATATGTGTGTTGATTAGGATGTAGTGAATTTTACTATTGTTTTATGTTTCATTACATGCTTTGTTACATGCTAATATTGAATATTAAAACAATGATATCCATACGAAAAGTTGTACTTAGAAGGCAGATTTAGCTTATGTTGTGTCACATACACAAGTTGCTGATAAAAGCTGTACCTGTAGAAAAAATAAGGTGAACATTCACCTCTCCTGCTGCCCACTCTGTTTCATTGTAAAATAAAAAATTCTCCTAAATTTTCATCCATAACTGACACTTCCTAGAGTATCGATTTCCTTTGTCTAAAGCTGTGCTTAGTGGTTCCTCCTGCTAACCTACATGTCACTATTTTGCCCTGTAGTAACTGGAAGAACCACTGAACCCAGCAGGGGACACAGGTAATTGACACTTCCAGAAGTGTTGATTTCAAAAACACTTCAGTAGAGGATTTCTTTAGAAGGTAACAACGTTCAGCTTTGAGGACAGCAGGATAGGTAAGTATGCACTTTTTTTTATAGGTATGGCTTTAGCAACTTTGTGTAAGCAACAAAGTCACTTTACTTTTCCTCGGCAAAAGTAATATTACTAATGAGCCATACTCTCATATAGTTGATATTTTTTGCACAACGGCTTCTTTGTCACTGTCTGTATGTGTTGCCATTGATCACTACAGTTATAAGATAGCAAGTTACAATGTATGCAGAATCTGCAATTTGACACTTCTTTGTATCCTAAAGTGAACCTGTCACTTTAGCCATGCAGGACAAAATGACTGGTTTCGCAGCCCAACTTCACACCTACAAATATTCACCATGTTTGCAATTCCCCACTGCCCCGTACACCTGCTGGATCCCTGGGTAGATATCTATTTATCAGAAATTCCACAGGGTTCGGGACTTTCCCCATGCTCCCACATCACAGTGCTCGAGCCTTGGGACTTACTCAGGGGCCAAGCAGCCATGACACATTAGGGAAAACAATCTTCACCCTTGTGGTACATCTCCAAGACCTAATAGCAAACCTAATAGCAAAAATACATTACTTATTAAAATTATATTACAAACTTGCATGCAATTATCTAACGTTATAGTGCTGACAGTGTAGAAAGCAGGCCAGAAAAAAGCAGCTTGCATGCTCCTGTTCTTTTAAGCTGTTAGTAAAGAAAGATACATGCTATCATTGCTAAGTACCTGGCTATTCTAGAATTAATACAAAGGAGGGATTCTTATTTATTTATATCCACATAGCAGTTCCATCTTTTTCATGCTATGTTTAAAAATTCCTTTGATATTCCTATTTCAAGTTTATAATATGTTTCAATGTATAACAAGAAAGTTTTAGGTTGATATGACAAAGATTTGGGCATAGCATATTTTTTTCTCATATGAGTAACTAATTATTTCAGTTTGTGTTTTACAAAAACTCTTGGGCTAGTTTTTATATGGTAAACCATGAATCACTATTTACATCTGAATATTCAGTACCTTTGTTTAGAAGTATAGTTTGTTGTAATTCTATGGACCAGATACATTCAGCAGCAAGTATATCTCAGTCAGATGAGTCTACTATTAGAAAAAAAACAGGAGTATTTTCCTATTAAAATATGAAGTGTTTTTCATGTAATAGGTAATAATAACAGTCTGATCAAATAAATGCAAGCAAGTTCCCATATTTGGCCACAAGAGGGCAGGCATGTCATCTAATAGTTTCTTATGCCATGCACTGGATATGCTCATGTCAGTGCTGCTCTCTCCTCCCCCTGGCTCAGTGATTCACCCTCCCATCTTTTTTTTTCTCACTCACACAAAGAGCTGCTGCTCTGATGAATGCTGCTATCATGCACAGAGCAAGCATTTTACTCTGATAGTGGATTTTTTCTAAGGATGACCATATATTGGATTAACAAGACCTCAAGGCTGACACATTTCAAGACATTTCAAAGAAGGACATTGTAATATGAACATCCAAGATTATTCAAAAGCTTGGCAAGTAGCTTTCTCCTTTCTCTTTTGCAGCTGGGGTTGTGCTTCTCGGCAGATATATTATTCTGTTGCAGAAGAATCAGATGCAGGGACTGTTGTGGGCAATGTAGCTCAGGATCTGGGCTTAGACCAGACAGCTATTAGTAAACGGAGATTACATGTGGCATCTGAAGGAAATAGCAGATTTTTTTCTATTGACCAGAAAAATGGAGCTCTAATCATACTGGAAAGGATAGATAGGGAGAGCCTGTGTGGATCTGCTTCAAGCTGTGTACTGCGTTTAGAGCTGGTAGCAGAAAACCCACTGGAACTGTTTAGCTTGGAAATCCAAATATTAGATATAAATGATAATGCTCCAACATTTCCAGTTGCTAACCAGATAATAAAAATTATAGAACAGGGTTCTAGTCCTGGTACTCACATACCTTTAGAAACAGCACATGACCCAGACCTGGGTGTTAACCGGGTAGCTCAATACAGATTAAATAAAAATCCATATTTTTCTTTATCTGTCACTAACCAGAAAGATGGCAATCTCTTTCCCAAACTAGTGTTAGAAAAAATTCTAGACAGGGAAGAGAAAAAAGAACACATTCTTACTCTTACTGCCATTGATGGAGGAGAAAATCCTCAGTCAGGGACATCCCAGATTACTGTTCTAATATTTGATATTAATGATAATGCACCAGTCTTTGATCAATCGATTTATAAAATCAGTATACTTGAAAATCTCTCATTAAAAACCCTGATTTTATATTTGAATGCAACAGACCTGGATGAAGGGATCAATGGAGAAATTGAGTATTCATTCCATCACAACACTCTAGAGGCAGCAAAGAAGGTATTCAGTTTAAATGCACAGACAGGAGAAATATTGAATAAAGGCATTGTGGATTTTGAAGTGGCAAATGTGTATGAATTATCTGTCAGGGCAATAGATAAAGGTATTCCAGAATTAGAAGGGCGTTGTATTGTTCAGATTGAAGTTGTGGATGTAAATGATAATGCTCCAGAAATAAAATTTACTCCTAAGGTTAATGAGGTCCCTGAAAGTGCCCCAGTAGGGACTGTTGTTGGATTTATTACAGTGAAAGACAGGGATTCTGGTAAAAATGGGGAAGTAAAACTGGAAACATCACCAGATTTACCCTTTAAATGTCAACCTATATCAAATTATTATACACTGGTCACTAGCGGACCGCTAGACAGGGAGAAAGTCTCACAATATACCATTACACTGATCGCTTCTGATCTGGGCTCTCCATCTTTAAGCAGCCAGGCTACAATCATTATTAACATTGCTGATGTTAATGATAATTCTCCAACATTTCCACAGTTTGCTTACAATGTCCTCATATCAGAAAACAATGAGCCTGGCAGACTGTTGTGTACAGTATCTGCTGGAGATCCAGATGAGAGAGATAATGCAAAGCTCATTTACTCCTTAGCAGAGAGCCACATAGATGGCTCTCCTGTTTCTTCATTTGTCTATATTAACTCTGACACTGGTAATATTTATGCCCAGCGATCTTTTGACTATGAACAATTCCAAGTTCTACAGATCACTGCGAGAGTAGAAGATTTTGGAACCCCAAAGTTGTTTTCCAATGTGTCAGTCTTCATATTTATTCAGGATACAAACGACAATTATCCCTCTATATTGTACCCAGAGAACTCAGGGGAAGCCTTTGCACAAGAGACCATTCCCAGATCTGTATCTGCTGGCTATTTAGTCAGTAAAGTATCTGCTGTGGATCTGGATTCTGGGCACAATGCCTGGCTCACCTATAGTCTTGTTCAGTCGGGCAGTCCAGCTTTGTTTCACATCTCCGAATATACAGGAGAAGTCAGAACTCTGCGCGGATTACAGGAGACGGATAACACAGAATATCGACTTGTCATTTCAGTCAGTGACCATGGGGAGCCTTTACTGTCCTCTACAGTCTCTCTAATTGTAAATATAATGGAGAATATGGTACAAGAAAGTCCAAAAACTCCTGAATTTTTTGCAAACTCCAAATCAACCTCAGATATTACCTTGTATCTCATTGTTTCTCTTGTAGCCATTAGCTTGGTTTCCCTGGTTACTTTTATAATCCTAATTGTAAAGTGCCTTAGAAAGGACCAATACAACAGCAGTTGTGAATTCTGTTTCTCGAGCAATTCATACTCCCATAGCTATGCAGATCAGTATAAACCTACACTTTACCTGAACACAGATGGCACATTGAAGTACATGGAAGTAAGGATGGCTCCACCAGAAACACAAGGTCCATGTTATCCAGCTTGTTTCCCATCCACAGCAATACATGATTTATCATTCCAAAGAAATGGAAACTTTTCACACCATAATGATTTGCTAAATGAGACTAAGTCACTTTCTGAATCCAACTGTGTGATGACACCAAATCAGGTGAGATAACAAACATTTTTAATGTTTACAGTGGTGCAAACAGATTCTAATATGATTGTCATTTACTTTATTTTACATTAGGCATTATTGTTGCTTTGATTTTGTAGCTACAGGTCGAGCACAAATACAAGAGCAGTACAAGTCATCTCTTCCAGCTAAGGGTGATATTGTAATGCTGGTACACTCCAGTACTGTCTTTGGCATCTATGGAAAGGAAGTTAGCATTGCCTGTGGAATGTGATGTATTCACATTTTCCATACAATTCCTTTTCTGGACCTTGTAAACAGGTTATTCACCCCTGCATAGACTTCCACTGGATTTGCTAAATTGTTTGCAAACTGAACCCAGACAAGTTCGCTCATCCCTACCGTTGACAAACAGTCCACAAACAGTTCTATGTATTAGAGATGAAAATAATCTTGTCACTTCTTCATATGAATACCACATTTACTGCAGTCTGAACTGCATAACAATTGTTTATAGGCATAGATGCACAAATATGTCTTTCTAATATGTATATGTATTATTCATTTGATATCCCTCTGATTGAGCAGTTTCTGTTTTCTGTCTAGAATGCTATTATTTACTCTAACCAGTACAAGTATGGAGAATCTTTATTAACATGGAATTATTTTTCAAATAGCTGTAATTAATTTCTCATAACTAGCAATCCTTCTTCGTTTGCTCTTGCACAAAAGGCACAGTAGCTTTCTCCAAAGGTAAAAAAGGAGCAGTGTCTGTGGGGCCCATAACCAGTAAGATTGGGCTGACCCTTTCACATAGAATATGAAATTTGGATAACACAAACACACGTATTTACATTTTACTACACAGTAGGTTTGATTTGCTGAATGCAAATAGACTGTTCATCTTCCAAGAGAATGTACACTTTAAAGAGATAGATTGGTTGAGAGTTATTATTTTCAAAGTAAAATTTTACCTCATTTACCAAGCTAAAGGAAACATCCCCTGCAAAGTGCAAATTTGCAGGGTAAAAATTTGCCATTAGTAAATCAGCCCCAAAATCTCTAGGGTATGATTAATCATATGCTATTTGAGGCCCTTGGACTCTGGGGATTGTTATCCGAGAATGCAAGCCTTCTCTCTCCTGGATGCACCTGCGCAGTAGAACCCCATATGCTTCCTAGAAGGTAGACAAGCCCCATAGAGGTCTATGAGGTTCTACTGTGTGGGTGCAGCCAAGAGAGGATTTGTGGCATTGGATGTAAATAATCCCCAAAGGCTGCAGCAGTCAGATCAAGGCAAGTATTCATTTGTGGATGGAAGGGTGGCATCTGTTAGGTCAGGGAGGGGAGAAAAAATATGGTTTTTTTTTTGCTGAACAAAAGCTGCAGCAAAAATTCCACACTACCCACAGGCTTCCATTTGTGGCACTATTGCTGAATTTAAGTAGCTGTCCCCATGAAACGCTATAGGAATGACTACTCCAAATTAAATTATGCAAAGATATGGGACATGATCTGTGGGCAGTGGGTGAACTGGGGAGACAGGGGAGATGTTGGTGCATAATTTTTAGGACACCACCGAGATAAGTGTAATTTACAGATGGCACATATCTCTCCAAATATTTCTCTATGTGGAGTTTACGTTTGACATAATACTTTGCTGTTTAAAGTGGTTCGGACCATAGGTTAGTCTCTAAGACTGCCAATACTATATATGCTGGGGTAAAGTTTAGATGTATCGTTTTTAAGCATTCAGTATTTTCTATAATCATAAAGAGAATTACAGTCAGCTTGAAAAAACTTACTATGTGGCGCCCCCTGCATAGCAGGGGGTAATAGATTATTTAGTCTAAAGTGTAAGGAATAAACAGGAATACTTACCTTATTTCTCATTCCCTGACTAGTCAGGAGTCTCCTATGCTCTGCTGGTGTGTGGGTTGGCCTGTTACATTCTTAGGTACTATGCAGGACTGCTGGTCCATAATTGTACCTGATGATGTTAAAGAGGCAGCTGCTGGACAACCAGCAAAGGGAAGTAGCTAATTGGAAAGGGTTGGGAGGAAGCCTATTGGAGTGATACATAAAGTCAGTATTCCTGCTTATTCCTTACCCCTAGACAAAATGAGTACCTAATTTCCTATAGCTAAAGGACACCCTTAAATTGTAATATTTGCCTAAAAGCCAATAAGACTCATGTCAGGACCAGAATCAGATGGAAACCAGAACACAAAAGCTGCTTTCAAAGAATACCTTTATTGCGTTATCTAAATTATACAGCCAGTAAAATCAGTTAAAGTTATAGTTTAGTTTCCTGTAGAATCAGCTGATCCCCTAAGCAACTGGGCCTGATATCCTGTTTTAGGTCGGCTCCTTTCCCTTGCAGGGTCATATTAAGCCACCCTTGCATATGCTAGTAAGCTGTGTGCGTCTTCATAAACACATGCCAGCAAGGCAAGCTGCTCTCCTCCTCCCTGCTCCACCATCATCCCTCCTCCCTTCTCCAAGCGTGTAGATGGACAGTTGCTGTAGATTGTGCTGTCCCTTGTGATCTTGCAACAGACAGGAAATCTGAGCTGAGAGAGTTGGAGCCAGCTGTTCAGAATCATGATGACTGTAAATGTTTAAGTAAACATTTAAAGATATACTTGGCTGGGAAATGTATTTTTGTTTGATCCGAATACATTATTGCAAAAAAGTTTGAGAGTTTAATACTACTTTACAGTGTCAATAAATCCAAAATTGTTTTATGCCATTGGCTCTAAAATTTGCTTTTACTTTTTGCTCTATGTTTCTTTCATTACAATATTGGTATATATAGGTAAAAACCTGGTTGATCCTATTATTTCCCTCTATTTTGTTACTCAGAGTGGCAATGTTACTCCATTCTCAACTGTACCATTTCACTGCACATGCTCCAGTTTTCCCCTGGAAGGAAACTGTGCACTTTCTTTTTTTCTCTTCATGAAGCTAAACCATGTCACACTTCTTGTCAGCTTTCCTGGGCATTATGTGAAAGAACATATCCCCAACATCCCTTTAGACATTCATATCCTTCCCTGTTGGTACAAATCCAAATTTAAAACGAAACTAAACGAATTTTTTGGCAGTGCACATGTCTATTGGCCACTGGATGTTTATGAAATTTGCTGTGCAATTTATTCAAGCAGCAGGTCTGATAGAGAATATTCAAGCACCTCATCAGTAGATTGCACAGCAACAGTCTGCATCACCCAGTGGGCAGCAGGGAGGAGCATACTGGCCATGTCTAAGGATATATATTCTTTTATATAACACCCAGGCTCAGAGCTTTGTCAAAAGCTGAAACTGATCTCTGCCCCACTATCGGACAGTGAGGTGCAGGGGTACATCGGTTATATCACGTGCCCACAAGATACAAGAGGCAAAAACACGGTGTTTGAGCTTAGTAAAATGATGTGATTTGTGGCCAGTTATTGTTAGGGTTTGATTTAATGCTCATATGCCATAAATACTTCTAATGGGTTTATATATACTTTAATGCACATTTAAACTGAACTGCTATGAACCTACTGCTATAAAGGCATTTTTTGTTAGGGAGACATGGAACTTATTGATGGCACTATCTGTAACCTGAATAGTATCCAATTAAAAGAGTACCTTGCTTTTCAGCAGCTCATCAGTTAGATAGAAATGCTTATTATGACTGCATTCAGAATGATGAAATGATGATGAAATAATGTAATGCCAAATTCAGTTCATGTGTTATTAGCATGAACAACTATCTCTAGGCTTTGAGAACAGATCTTCCTGGCTCCATAAAGCTTTCTGTGAAAAAATCGAAATCTAATTAGAAGACATCTGATCACTAATTTTTCATGTTCTCCTAAGCTTAGAATTTCTAGTTTTTAGTTTAGAATTTATTTAGAATAATAATATTTTTTCTCATACAGTTACACAAATGTTGGTGTATTTATTTTACATACAACGCTAAAGGCTAGATTTTTATGCAGCTATAATTAATGAATAGGTATAAATGACAACTTTAACTGTTTCAAAACCATCAATTCATTTAATTTTGCTTAACAGATTTGTTTAGAAATTTCACTTCATATAAAACATAGTTTGCCTGATTTTTTAGAATAAAGCTGCAATTCTCAATTTTGGACAGAAGAGGGCAGACTAGTCCATCCAGTCGGTTTTCTAATAAACCCTTGTGAATCTGTTCATGTTAGATGTGTTCTCCTCCCCCTGGCTCAGTGATTCACCCTCCCATCTCCTTTCTCGCACACAAAGAAGAGCTGCTGCTCCGATGAAAACCCTGTGGATGTTTTCAATGCAGCAAATATGGTATTTTTTATACAACAAATCATTTAAACTCAGCTGGAATACTTACTGGGATTACAAAAGGACTTGATTCTCAGAAGAGGGATTAAAGACATGTACTGCAAATGCTCCTCAAATGCTTGGAAATGGCAAGTAGCTTTCTCCCTTCTCCTTTGTAGCTGGGGCTGGGTCTCTGGGCAGCTTCGTTATTCTGTTGCAGAGGAGTCAGATCCAGGGACTGTTGTGGGGAATATAGCTCAAGATCTGGGCTTAAACCTTGCAGATATTAATAAAAGGAGACTGAGTTTGGGATCTGAAGGAAGCAGTAAATATTTTACTATTGACCAGAAATATGGAGCTCTGATAATACAAGAGAAGATTGATAGAGAACGCCTGTGTGGATCCAGCTCCAGCTGTTTGCTGCATTTAGAGGTTGTAGCTGAGAATCCTCTGGAGCTTTTTAGCCTACAAATTGAGATATTGGATATTAATGATAATTATCCAATTTTCTCTGTTACTGATCAGGACATAAACATTATAGAGCTGGTAACAAGTCCTGGGGTAAGATTCCCTTTGCCCTCTGCTAAAGACTTGGATGTGGGCAAGAATGGTGTGAGACATTACAGCTTAAATCAAAACCCTTATTTTTCTTTATCAGAAAAATATCGCAGTGATGGAACATTAATTGCAGAATTAGTTCTAGAGAAAAATCTAGACAGAGAAGAGAAATCAGAACACAA